CTTCCTGATTACCGAGACCTTCCAGATCCTCGGAATTCTCGAGATCTTCCTGATTATCGAGACCTTCCAGATCCTCGGAATCCTTGAGATCTTCCCGATCACCGAGACCTTCCAGATCCTCGGAATCCTCGAGATCTTCCCGATCACCGAGGCCTTCCAAATCCTCGGAGTCCTCCTGATCATCGAGACCACCAAAATCTTGAGATCTTCCGAGACCTTCCAGATCTTCGGATTCTGCAAGATCTTCCAAATGACAACAGATCCTCGGAAGATTATTCAATTTCTTCCCTGGAGACTGATCCCTATAGACCTTTTTGAGAGGACATTCTCCCCGGTTCCTGCAACGCCTCGTTCCTCTCCGCCAAGAATACCTCGTTCATCGAACAGACGATCAAGAGGAACCTAGACTGAACCCTACAATAGCAGAGGAGAAAGACTAGGAAAATTGAAAATAACTAAGTCTTTGCCAAGATTAACTTGGCGGCCAAAAGTTGTAAAAAAATAAGAAATGAAATAAAATTTTGTTGATAAAAATTCTACATGGTCTATTAATCGTTTGTCAACAAAGATATGTTCAGATAAGATTAATTTTTTCAACCAGCTCATTTTTTTTAATAAACAGCTGATTCGATATCTTAGTTAGATTTTATAAATAAAACAATAAAAAATTATCTTACATTTTTTTATGTCTGTTTATGTTCACTTTTTTTATTTTATTTTTTTCTTTTTAATTTTTAATCTTGTTATATGTGCATTGTTTACCTCTCCTCTTTCTTATCTTTTACTTTTTTTAACGTAACGCTATCACTATCATGACCAAAAAAAATTTCAGATAAATAAAATTTATCAAATTTATCTAATCGTTTATACTTTCTATCTGTTATAATTATTACATTTTTTAAATTTAAATTTTAAATTTTAAATTTTTTTATTACATTTTTTAAAAACAAACTTTGTCACCTAATTTTAATTTCAGATTTATTTATGTAACTAACTTATAAGCAATGCACAACAGAAGTATTTTAAATATATTATAAATCATTTTCTTTTATTTGTATTGTAGGCTTCATCATATGGTGAATGTTAGAACAAACATTGTCGCCTAGTATATTTTTAGAAGCTATCAACATATATTTGTATAACCAGTGAGTATAATATATTGTAATACATATAATGATATAAATACATTGTAGCAAAAATTCGAAGTATATGATAAATTTGACCATATGTTTCCTTTCTTTATTGTTTAAAAGAGATACTTGAAGAGAGTCAGATTTACATTTATTTATTTTTATTTATGAATGTTTCGAATGAATTTCAACTTGAGTTTTCCTTAAGAAATAAAGTAATACAGTTTAATCATTTTTAAATTACAAACTGTGTAATGCAAATTATATAATATTTCAAAAACCAAGTAATACATACAAACATATGGTTAATATAAAATGTTATTTTATTCTAAAACTTTATTTTAATCTCTATAACATAAAAATTATAAAACCTTTATTTATTTAGTCATGGTAAATCAGCTTCAATCATTAATAAAATTATACATGTTATATTATAAAAGAAAAAAAAATATATATATTAAATTATATTAAAATTAACAAATTTCTATATTTCTGAGACTTATATTATAACATTAAAATATGTAACTATAAATTATGTAAATTATTTTCTTTTATGATGTTGATAAATTATACGAAATGTTTAATATTATTGCCACAATGTTAAATCTTATAGACATGATAAGCTTTTGAAAACAACTTCTGATAATTTATGGGTGGTAGTTATGTAAATTACCTATTACGTATACTACGCAATCGAAGTCCAATTTTACTGTAACTTGGTCAAATATTTGGATAACACCATCACATTCAGAAATTAAACTCCTTCTTGAGAAAGATCAATGAATCATCTTAAACTTACAACAAACTGGTAAAAAATGAATGATAAACTTTTTTATTATCTATCATATTATATGTATAATTTCAACATTGTGATTATAGTCAAACTAATTTAAATTCATACAAAATTTTTATTAAAGTTTTTCAAAATTATTTAATTATCATATGTAAGGTTTTAATTAAAAATAATGAAGAAATATCAAATCTAACACACACACATATAAGAATAGAAAACAAAGACATCTTTAAATATAATAATACATTTAATATCGAAATATCTTTAACATTTTAAAATATGTTAAATCAATATATATAATTTTGAAGTATCTAATAATCGACAAAGTAGTTTATTTTATAATAGGATACTATCGTATCAATTATGATACGGAGAATTGGCGAAAAATTGCGCGATACTTAAATTCTGATGAATACGGAAATATACATGTTCTCAATCGAGCGCAAATCATCGATGACGCATTCCATTTCGCAATAGAGAAGAAACTTCATATGAATTCTTCATATTTTGGGAACTCGTTAATTATTTGCGAAAAGAGAAAGATTATATAACATGGTATCCTATGATCAAAGCTTTTGAATTTATGTCAAATATTTTTGCATTCTTTGAATTTTATTCTCAATTCAAGGTAAACAAAATCTAGAAATTTTCTATTGAGCCAATGCATAATACAAATCATAATCGTGATTTCATATATCGATATACCGACAGTGAAATAATTTTTTAAAAATTAGATTTATATAGAGAATTGAAAAAATGAACTTAATGATATAGTTTCTTCTTCGCCAACAAAACTAAAAAATTTAATTTCAAAAGACGCTTATGTTTTTTGTTTTATGTTTTAAATTTAATAATTAAAAATAAATTTAATAACAAAACGCAATAAAAAGGAAGGTTAAAAGACCGTGACGCAGGATGTTAAAACGTAAAGAAAATAGAAATAATAATGAAAGCTCTAAATAAGAGACATAATATATTAATAATGAGTTAGGTATAAAAATACAAAAATATGTCCGAAAAAATTGATGATTTGATTGAAAAAAGAAAATAATACATACGTTTCGAGCTTTTCAAGATCCTTTCCAATGTTCGAGATATCATTAGAAAATAAATAATTAATAATTACATTTTTTAAATTTTGAATTTTTCAAATTGCTATTTTCTTGTAATATTAATATTGTGAAAATTATAGTGTAAATGATATAAATTATACTGAATTTTAGAAAATTATAGAATACAATTACAATTATTTGCTTTATATTAATTTTCTTCGTTATAAAATATTTGTGGCGATATTAAAAACGTCTTAAATATTTTATGCAAATTGACTTAAATTTTTAATTTTATGACATTCTATATAGAACATATTAATCTATTTGTAAATAACTGTTGTATAAAAAATGAATATTTATAAATTTGAAATTTTTAAAGTCAATATTTATGCGTAACATGTATATTTAAGACATATTTGTACATATTGAAAAAAAAAATTATATAGCAAATTCATCGATATATACATCAATGTACATAAAGTAATATGTACATATTATAATGTATTTATATAATATAAAATATGTAAACAATTATTTAAATAAACGACCCGTGTTAAGGCATAATATAAAAAACGTCGTGCATGACTAGGCTTTCGTAATGCCTACTAGAAAAAGCGAAATTCGAGTCGTGCAATATTCTCCTTTTTCAAATATATCAAAATTGCGGGATATGATTGACAGACATGTGTTTGTCTTCATTTCGGACACCTTATTTATCCGTACACTCTCGTTGGACCATTCGCTTTCATCATTAATTAACCAGGACGGTCCGGTAATCCATGTTCGATTTCGCACGAAAGCATGAGGCAATTCGCTTCTCGATATTGCATCGGCTGTGTTCTCTTCCGATTTAACGTGTCTCCATTCATAGGCACCGGTAAGTTCCTGCACCTCCGCGACTCGATTTGCTACGTAAGTTTTGAGAAGATGTGATGGTGTTTTTAACCAATGAAAGACGATAGTTGAGTCACACCATAAAATTATTCTGTTGGGTGTGATACCCCACGCATCGTTTGTTTCGCGGCATAATCGTGCCAATAATAATGCACCGCAAAGTTTGAGTCGCGGTGTAGTGATAGTCTTTAATGGCGCCGCCCGGGATTTGACGCATAATAATTTAATAATAACATGTTTTCCACTCGAGCGTATAGAAATACACCGTAGCCATTGTTGCTGGCGTCGCAAAATCCGTGAATTTGAAAATTTTGATAGTTATTTATTAATAACTGACGATCAAAGGAAATCTGAGTTAGTAATTCCAATTGACGAGTGAATTCTGACTATTTGGTATATATGCTCTGTGGAACGGATTCACTCCATTACACTCCGCACCGCCACACATCTTGCATCAATTTTTTGCGTACAGAACGACCGGGCCCAACAATCCCAAAAGATCGAAAATTTTAGTGATTTCGGATAATATGTTCCGTTTCGTCAATCGTCCAGTGTTAGCGAATTCGCGAGTAAAGCGGGAAGCTAGTGCGGCGTTAGAGAGAGAGTCCAACAAGGAAGAAGAATTTCAATATCCGCGAGCGACGGAAAAACGTTTTTCTAAAATCCGAGAGCTAAGTGAGCGCGCTGAAGACTTTTGCGAAAAAGGCGCAGTGTTCCGCGATCGCGTCAATTTATACTAGAGCCCTTCTCGAAAGATCCCGATTTTTCGTAAACTCGACTGTGATAGATACAACGTTCAAATCGAACGGTCTAACGACTTATTTATTATTATTGGATCTTTCGAGAAGGGCGAGCGCTGTTTTCGAATTTGCGCTGACAAAGCAATATCGCGCTATCGGCCGCCAGGAGCGCCGAATAAGCGGTCGGGCCCTCGTCTTTTCTCCACTTATGGAGTGATAATTTCTAATTTAACCTTTTTTTGTGAATATATACATACGTTTGAAATGTGTTTCGAACATTCCGCCCGCCTCGCCGAGAGCGTTTGGCGAAATTGAGCAATTTAGCAGTGGATGCATTGACCGCTATGCAGAATGTATTTTTTAAACTTTGATACTCGCGGGATCTAATTTATTACGGTTGAGGCTCGTAATCCTCGCGGCCGTTGATGGGCAGTACGACGAGTTTAACGACGGGTCGTATGAACTCGGAAGCTGCGGTGCGCACTGTGACGACGCGAACTTGACCATCCTCTCCGGGATGGATTTTGGTGATTCGTGCGAGTGGCCATTTCGTGGGCGGTGTGAGCTCGTTCCGGAGAAGACATAGTCGGCCGACCTTGAAGCTCGTCTCTTTGCGCAACCATTTAGGACGGTGAGTTATGGAGTGGAGGTACTCCTTCGACCAGCGCTCCCAAAAGTGATTTTGCATCTTTTGCAGGAGTTGCCAGCGGGATAAGCGAGACGCCGGTTGATCCAGCAAGGACGGCTCGGGCACGGCAGTCAGGGCGGCTCCCACCAGGAAGTGTCCGGGCGTCAATGCAGCTAGATCTTCAGGGTCGTCCGAGAGCGCTTGTAGTGGCCGCGAATTGAGACACGCCTCGACTTGAGTGAGGAGGGTGCTCATCTCTTCGTATGTTAGTTTGGCGTCGCCAATCACTCGTCGAAGGTGGTGTTTGAGCGATTTGACTGCGGCCTCCCAAATACCTCCGAAGTGTGGCGCTGAGGGAGAATTGAACCTCCACTCAATTTTCTCGGAGGCGAGTCTGTTGATAACCCGGTGGTCTCCCGGAGTGCCAGTGGTGAAGAGGGCCCTCAGCTCAGAATCGGCCCCCACGAAGGTGGTTCCGCAGTCACTCTGGAGACTGCGACAGATGCCGCGACGAGAGACGAACCGTCTGAGAGCCGCAAGGAAGGCCTCGGCCGTATAGTCGGAGACCACTTCAAGATGTACGACTCTGGAAGCAAGGCAGACGAAGACCGCCACGAAGGCCTTGTAAGAGCGGTGTCCGCACCCCTTGGTCGTGCAGAGTTGGAACGGCCCGGCATAGTCGACCCCGGTGTGGAGGAAGGGCCTCGCAGGTACCACTCGTTCCCATGTAAGGTCGCCCATCAACTGCTGTGGGATTGCCGCCATCGCACACAAGTGATGCATCGCGAGATAGCCCCCTTAACTATCGCTCGACTTCGTGGAATCCAATATTGCTGGCGGATTAGCGACAATGTGAGCTGTGTTCCGACGTGCAACGCTCGTTGATGGCAGTCGTCCACGATTAGCCGGGTGAGGTGCGAGTCCTTTGGCAGGAGGACGGGATGACGCTCGTCATAGGCCAAGATGGAGTGCTTGAGCCGACCTCCAACCCGCAGGAGATCCTCAGCATCTAAAAAGGGACTGAAACGAGTGAGTGAGTTTGATTTACCGAGAGCGAGACCCTGACTTGTCAACTTTAACTCGGCTCCGAAATGGTCTGATTGTACTCGCCGGATCCAGGAAACTCGAGCCTCCTCTATCTCGTCAGCAGACAGAGTCCTGGGGGAGTGCCGGCGAGTGACAGCTGCATGACCTGCCTTCACGCTCAGCCACCGTTAGCACCAGGCTGTAACGCGCAGGAGTCTCTTCAGGGAGGAGAATCGCACCAACTCAGCGGCCTTGCTTGTTGGTGCCGCTGTCACTTCGGCGTGGACTCGGGTGCGCCTCTCCAGCAGGGGCTCCTCGACGTTATGACCGACGGTAGTCGGCCATGCGGCAGTTTCCAACCTTAGCCAAGACGGGCCTTGCCACCACAGCGGATGACCCAGCAGTTCCTTGGGAGAGAGACCACGGGAAGCGCAGTCGGCTGGGTTGTCCTGACCGGAGATGTGATGCCACGCAGCCTGCGGGGTGGTCCTCTGGATCTCGGAGACGCGATTCGCAACGTAGGTCTGCCACCTAGATGGGTGGCCGCGGATCCAGCTCAGCGTGACGGTGGAGTCCGTCCACAGGTGAAGTGGCGCAGCTAGGTCGAGGATCGTCATGGCGTGTTTGGCTAGGCGGCAGAGAAGGACATAGCTCCAAGCGAGGTAACGATACCTGCTTGAGTGGTGTGACCTTTGTTTTGGCGGCGATTAGGTTAACAACCCATGAGTCGTTTGATCTTGTCCTCAGGTACACTACGGCGGAATACGCCTGTTCAGAGGCATCGGAGAAGCCATGGACCTCGAAGTGGACACAAGACGGACCTAGGTTGATCCAACGGGGTACTCGGATTTGCTCGAGTACCGGTATCTGAGCGTGGAAGTTGATCCAGTTCGTTGCGGAGGCATCATCGAGCGGGGCATCCCTCTCAAGTCCTTGGAGCCAGGTGGACTGAAAGGCGATCTTGGCACGAACCACGACTGGCGCCAACCAGCCGAGAGGATCGAACAGCTGCGCCACCAAGGACAGCACGGATCTCTTGATGACGGACGGTAACGCCATATGGCGGGTGGCGAAGGAGAATTCATCCGTAGCGGGGTGCCACTGCAGCCCCAAGGTGGAGTGAGTCTCGTGCGGTCACCAGTCACGGATCTCGCTCTGCAATCGATGCTCCGGCGGGATGTCCGAGATCACGGCTGAGTCATTGGCCGACCACTTCCGTCGGAAAGGAAAGCCGCCCGCCATACAAATATCGGACAGCTGTTTGCACACTTCCTGGGTCTCCGCAATCGTCGATGCTCCTGTCAAGATGTCGTCCATGTAGACGTCTCGTTGGAGTGCAGCTGCTCCCAGAGGGTACTGCTTACCTTTGTCCTCGGCTAGTTGTCTCAGGGTGCGCATCGCCAGAAACGGCGCACACGCTAGGCCGTAGGTCACCGTGCTCAGTTGGTACTCCACAGGACTATTTTGTTTGGAATCCCGCCACAGAACTTTTTGGAGATCCCTATCGTCTGGGTGGACCAGGATCTGCCGGAACATTTTCTCGACGTCGGTGGCTAGGACGTATGCTGTCGCCAACGGAGTAGCACGTCGGCGAGGGGAGGCAGCAAATTCGGACCCACCATAAGATAGTCGTTCAGGGTTTTGCCCGAAATAGTAGGCGTAGAGCCGTTGAAGACCACGCGCAGCTTCGTGGTGACGCTGCTCCTTCGCAGAACGCCGTGATGCGGCAAGTAATGTACCGGCCTATTTGATGCGACACCTGGAGTCACGCGTGACATGTGGTGCAAGTCTTCGTACTGCCGCATGAAGTCCGCGTAAAGCGCATGAAAGGGAGGATCCCGAGCGAAGCGTCTCTCCACGCTGAAAAGGACCCGCAGAGCCGTGGAGCGCGTTGTTGAGAAGTCTGGCAGCGGAGAAACGACCGGCAGACGTACGACGTACCGACCGTCAGCGGATCGCGAGTGAGTCTGGTGGAAGAAGTTCTCGCACTCCTGGTCCGCGGGCGAGAGCACTACAGCGGTGTCAGAGAGCTCTTCTTGCTGCCAGAACTTTTGTACTAGAGCACCCAGGTCTTCCTCGACCAGACAGTGATGTGCCAGTGCGCGACGCGGAGTGGATGTCGCACCGGCGGCACCCGACAAAATCCAGCCCAACGCCGTTTTTTGTGCCACAGGTTCCTGTGACTTACCCCGCCGAAGTCTTTTCTGGAGGATGGTAGCGTAGACGTCAGCTCCTAGAAGGATGTCCACTGGGTCCGTTGCTAAGAAGTCCGGATCGGTGAGCTCCAATCCGTGGATGTGCGTCCAAGCTTGACGATCAGCCTTGATTCCTCCTTCATAAAGGGTGAGCAGGGGGAAGACCAATGCGGCCACGCTTATCGAAGGCTCGTCGCTCAGAGAGCGGATCTGGAGAGTGACCTGACCGCGCGCGAAGCCCGTTTGCTTGCCATCGACTCTGTACACCGCGACGGAGGTAGGATATCGCCCCAGGCGAAAACGCTGGGCTAAAGCTTCGGAAACTAGTGAGGACTCCGAGCCCTGGTCGACCAGAGCACGTGCTGTGTGCACGCGGCCGAACCGGTCCATGACACGGACGCGCGCGGTAGCGAGGAGCACAGACATCGTCGGCTCGGCTTTGCGTTGTGCTAAGTGCGATGTCTTAGCGACTTCGACCGACGGACATGCCTCGTGGAGAGTCGAGTGATGACGCGCGCGACACGACGAACACGTCTTTTGGGAGGCACACTCGCTTACCTTGTGCTTTTCCAGGCAATTCAGGCACAGATCGTTCGCCTCGACATGGCGCTTTCTTTCCTACGCCGTCTTGTTCTGGTAGAGTTCGCAGAACATTATGTAGTGGTCCTGACTACATAGGGAGCAGCGACCTCGTTTACCGTCCTGCTTACGTGCGTGGAGAGCGCGAGTCTTCTGTGTCGGACTCGGATTCGGCTTGGAAGAGATGGCTTCAATCTTGACTGGCTGCAACGACTCCAACGTGTGCAACCGACGATCCAAGAAGAGCTGCAGCTTATCATATGAAGGTGGATCGTTTGAATCACTTATGAAGTTCTCCCACTCGCGACGAGAACGAGGATCGAGCAGATCGACCATGAGGTGCACAAAGAGGTCCTCGTCCTTCGTGATCGAGCGCCCAATGCTCTCCAGTGAGCCCACGGTGCTCTTCACACTGTGACAGAGCTGGCGTAGCTCTACCATCGACTCGTTCTTCAGTTTCTGGAGTGACGTAAACTGAGAGATGTAACTGCGCACCAGGAGCCGCTTGTTCTCATAGTAGGCAATGAGAACGTCCCATGCGCGCTCGAAGTTCTCACTTGTCGTAGGCAGGCTTCGGATTAACAATTCTGCTTCTCCTTTCAGGCACGCCTTCAGGTAATGGAGCTTCTCAACTGATGACGTGAGGGTGTCCTTTCCGATTAGAGACTGGAAAAGGTCGCAGAAAGCTGGCCAATCCTCGTACTTTCCGGAGAAATGAGGCAGCTGGATCCTTGGAAGAGTAGTGCGAGGAGCTTGCGAGGACGGCCCTAACGCCTTCGTAGCTGCTTCCTTTTCCTCAGTCTTGAGGCTACGTAGGAGGTCTAACAGCAGACTTTTATTACCGAAATAGGCTTCCTCAGCCAGAGCAGGTATGTCGAGCTTTATGTACTCCGAATCGGCGACTTGGTCGAGGTAATTTAGTAGCTCGTCGTTGTGTGCGTCAAATTTGGTCCAATACCTTTCCAAGGACTGCAGGCGCGCCTCCACGGCGCCGACAGTGATTTTGGCAGCGCCCAGCTTCAACAAGTTCTCGTGAGTGCGAGCGATTTTGTCCGTCGCGGCGGTGATAATTAACTCCGCTTTACGACTCATGATCGCTTGAATTTCAGGTGACTAGGTGTTCAAAAATTAAAATAATCATTCTAGTTTTAAAATCGCATAGCGATTCGCATGTTTTCGCTAATAAATAATCGAGAATTTAAAATTAACGGGCGTCGAAAATCTTCTCGAAATGTCTATTTGTTAGAAAAACTCGAACGCTCGAGTTATCTCGCCTTTTTTGCCACCGAAAAAAACGCTCATCATCATCGCAGACAATATTATTGTCAACCGCCGTTGAAATTTACGCCGCTCATGGGCATGCGCGCCCATGCGTCACGATCAGCTGATCGCCAATCAGCTGATCTAAAAAGATTGCGCGCATGGAAAATAAATGATATCCAACGTGAGACGTCATCAACAACCAATGACACACGCCGCAATAATGTCACCGCTAAAATATTGAATTAATCGACATAATCCACGTCGAAGCGGGTCCAAAAATCCGCTCGTTTTATAATAGGCACCGCGCGTGGACCAGCTAAGTCTCGCACTTATCGCTGCTCGCAGTATTTCTTAAAACCGCTTCGCTTTGTAAAACCGCTTTTTCTAACCGCTATTATAACGACCGCTTTCTTACTCGGACTTTCGCAATTTCGGCTTCGTAACCAGGTTCTGTACCTGAAATATTTGTGTTCATTTTTATTCGTGTAAACTTTTATTAATTGTGTGGTGTAAAATAAAACTGAAAAAATCAAAAAGAATTACGTGTCGTGTCAAGTTTATTTTGCGTTAAACATTCTGTTCGTGGCCATCCTTCTGCCGCTTTCTCAAACTTTGCGCTGTCGCAGCAATCCGCGCTAACTCGCGAACACTAGGTCTTCGGAGCACAAAAAACCACACCACTTCTCACTTACACGGCGTCGTAGAAAGAAAAAACCGGCCACGATATCCGGCTCGAAGGACCAGCAAATGTTAGCGAATTTGCGAGTAAAGCGGGAAGCTAGTGCGGTGTTAGAGAGAGAGTCCAACAAGGAAGAAGAATTTCAATATCCGCGAGCGACGGAAAAACGTTTTTCTAAAATCCGAGAGCTAAGTGAGCGCGCTGAAGACTTTTGTGAAAAAGGCGCAGTGTTCCGCGATCGCGTCGATTTATACTAGAGCCCTTCTCGAAAGATCCCGATTTTTCGTGAACTCGACTGTGATAGATACTACGTTCAAATCGAACGGTCTAACGACTTATTTATTATTATCGGATCTTTCGAAAAGGGCGAGCGCTGTTTTCGAATTTGCGCTGACAAAGCGTTATCGCGCTATCGGCCGCCAGGAGCGCCGAATAAGCGGTCGGGCCCTCGTCTTTTCTCCACTTATGGATGATAATTTCTAATTTAACCTTTTTTTGTGAATATATACATACGTTTGAAATGTGTTTCGAACATCCAGTAATCTTAGTCGGATGAATCGAATAACATATTTTATCCGTATGTACGTTCCACGTTAAGCCTAACGTTTTTAGAGCGTGATCTATGTTCATCGTAAAGTTCGCGTGTGACTCGTTTTCGGCTAAATCATTGATGATTTTTTTATCATTAGACGCCCATTGTCGGATAGTGAAACCACCCTGCGCTAATAAATTGATTATCTCGTCTCTAATCGCGCGCGCTTCCTGTCGGCGCCGAATAACAAATCGTCTACGTAAAGATGTGAGTCAAGGATATTTGTCGAAATGTAAAAGGGTGTTGTGTCATCTTTGACAAATCGTGCAATTCGAGAATTTACAGGAGTTATCTCGATGAGAACGCAAACAATTGTAACAAAGTTCCACGTTTTTCACTATCTCAATGCGTTTGGGTACGGGCAATTGTTTAAATTTGTCGCACATAAAAAGCGGATGTCGTTTACTCTTGCATACTATGCAGTTACGCGACACGCTTGTTAAGAAGGTCTGATTCGGAATGCGTTTCTTTTTAATTGGAGGCTCGCTCTTGCCTTTGTCTGTTTCCGCTGTCTTTGCGCTTTCGCGTTTCGAAGCACAAACCGCGCTTTTATATAGAAATTCATACATTTGATCGAGTTGAGGAAATTCGTCTCTTTCAAGACTTGATTCCCATCTCTCTAATGCAACCTTCGGTAGCTTGCTTTATAAAAGGTGGACGATGATTTCAGATCCGACAGAAACTCCTAAGGCGTTCAGTGACGCGAAATGCTGTTGCGTTTCGTTGGTGAGCTTGGATAAGCCGCTCGTGGTCTCTTTGTCTAATGCGGGCATGTTTAATATTAATGCAAGATGTCGCGATATTAGGACGCGTTTTACCTCGTATGAGCGCTCTAATAACTTCCATGCGTTTGAATAATTTATACCGTCGATCGCGAAAATTCTTATTTTGGTCGCTTCATCAATTAATGCAGATTTTAAATAATGTAATTTGTTTACATTATTTGTCTGATAAGTCAGTCTGCGAGCCTATCATGCTACAAAACGCGTTTTTGAATGACAATCAGTTTTCGTATTTTCCTTCGAATGTCGGCAGCGGCGCCTCAGGTAATTTGATCCTTCGTTTTTTGACGGAAGCGAGAATCTCTGTGTTATCACTTCGCGGTTCGTCATTGGAAGTGCCGGCGATCGCGTCCGAGATATTTGCCGAGTTTAATCTTTCGATTTTACCCGCGAGAGAATAAAAACGTTCTTGTACAATGATAAATTCATTTTGATGCTCCTCGTTCGGTTCTAATACCGCGAGCTCATCATTGTAATCCTCGAATGCGTGGTATAAATCTGTTAAACGAGCGATACGCAGTTTTAATGTCGCGTTATCGATTTTACCTTTCTCGAGAAGATTGTTTACGTTCGATGATTTGAGATTTTAGGGAGGTTCGCTTTTGTATCAAAAATTTAACTCTTTCCGACATTGTTAGGCGTTTAGGATCGAAGATGGATGAACGACTTACACGTAAATGCAGTCCGTTGTTTTACGATCAGTCTCCTTGATCACTATCGATTCTTCCTCTGCTAACAAATCCGTGCGCCTTGTCGTGCGGCAATAGTACTTGTCCTCGTCTTCTTCTGTTGTGCGAGACCTCACAGGAGGCACCAATGATCAATTCAGCGTCAACACTCTCGTGTTCACTCTGCAGTTTCGTTTATTGTTCACCTTACAATAGTTTCATGTTTATACAGATTTCGTTTAATCGGTTATTAATAAATAACTTTCAAAATTTTCAAATTCACGGATTTTGCGACGCCAGCAACAATGGCTACAGTGCATGTCTATATGTACGCTCGAGAGAAAACACGTCATTACTAAATTATTGTGCGCCAAGTCCCGGGTGATGCCGTTAAAGATTACACCGCGACTCAAACTTTGCGGCACATTATTATTGGCACGATTATGCCGTGAAACAAACGATGCGTGGGGTATCACACCTAACAAAATAATTCTATAGTGCGACTCAACTATCATCTTGCATTGGTTAAAAACACCATCACATCTTCTCAAAACTTACGTAGCAAATCGAATTGCGGAGGTGCAGGAACTTACCGATGCCTATGAATGGAGACACGTTAAATCAGAAGAGAACCCAGCCGATGCAATATCGAGAGGCCAATTGCCTCATGCTTTCGTGCAAAATCGAACATGGATTACCCGACCGTCCTGGTTAATTAATGATGAAAGCGAATGGCCCAACGAGAGCGTATGGATAAATAAGGTGTCCGAAATGAAAACAAACACATGTCTGTCAATCATATCCCGTAATTTTGATATATTTAAAAAATATTCATCCTATTCTAAATTGCGTAGAATCGTCGCTTATTGCCTTCGGTTTCGTCCGGTTAACAAATACGTTGGACCGTTATGCGCAGAGGAAATCAATGAAGCCGAGATGCGAATTTTGAAAATTTTGATAGTTATTTATTAATAACCGACGATTAAACGAAATCTGTATAAACATAAAACTATTATAAGGTGAACAATAAATGAAACTGCAGAGTGAACATGAGAGTGTTGACGCTGAATTGAACATTCTTTAAAAATAAATACAATAACACAAAATAAATTATAATCATTGCTCCATTAAATTATAAATATAGAGAAAAGGCTTAAGGAGCGTGAATGACAATTTCATTAATTTAATATTATTCTGTAAATAATATTTAATTATACAAAACAATTATACAAAAAAAATATATATATAAGTAATTATATCATGTTGACAAATATAAATACAGTAAATCGACAAAAAATGGGGGGAGGGGAGAAGCGGACGTTTCGGTTCAATTATTCAAGCCTTCTTCAGCGCAATATTCTTTTAATTAGTCATGGATAAAATAAGCTAATCTTATAAATTTAATAATATAAAATCCATAATGGTATCGCAAACCGAACGCAAACGCAGATGGCGATGTAGAATAAGAAAATTTTTTCTCTTAAAGACACTTTGGTCCTATCTAATTCGATTGTTAGAAGGTCCATAATGATTGTCATTATATCATAATATTCTACATCTAAAATCAATATCATTCTAACGGTTAAAATTTGAATGTAATAAATTGTTAATCGAATTATAAAACTTATGAACAAATTGAATTTAAAAACAATAATGTTAAAATATTAAGATATAAAAAAACAGCTTACAATTTATTGAAATTCCATCTGTCTAGTCACGTTCTATGGTTGATAAAATGTACTAATGTTTTAGACGGTAGCGATTTAAAGTGAGATACATTAATGTTCGTCCTATGTTTCATCCTTCTTATATATAGAAATCATACATACAGAAGTTTATCAATAATATTATTGTATATGTCAGGTGTGGTATTGTATATGTCACATGAAGATTCTCTGTGTCGGTTTGCAAATTCAAACTTTGCTGAATTCCGGTAGCCCGGGCTCGTCAAGAAATTGTCTGCGCAAATCCCGCCTTCTCCGATACGCGATACAAAGCGACCAAAATTTGCCCGTCACGCGGTGACATGAAATTCGGCCCGGAACGTAACGGTAACGAGACGGTATGTACAAAAAACGAAACGGTACAATATTAAACGGTATGAGACG